GTAAGGAAATGTCACAAATTGACTTATTGCACGGGTGGCAACCTATCACAGTACCACTCTTGAATTCACTGAGCTCCTGAGAGCTTATTCTTTCACAAATGTTTGTAGAAGCAGTCTGCATGCCTAGATGCTTGATTTTATATACCTGTGGCCATGGAGGTGATTGGAACACCTGAATCCAATGATTTGGAGTATAGTGTATGTTTTATTAACATTTTTAACACTGGGCGGGAGGGGGGGGGGTTGGTGGCCTTTTAACTATCGTAAAAGTGAACAGGTGGTCGTGGAGCTACCCAAATCACTTTACTAAATAAACAAAAATATACCAAGCTCCTGGCAGCTACAACCATGAGCTTATTATAACCATTTGCATCCAGGATTTTTTGTACGTTCAGCAGACAGGAAGTGGTCCTGATTGCAATTACCACAGGATGGGGATGGGGACACTTCCATACAAAAAACACACAAACCTGTCCTCCCTATTATTCCCCCAAAAAAGTTTTGCCTTTTAATACAAGTTTAATATAAGCTTTTAATTAGCAATTTCCTATATCTGTGTATTACATCTTCAACAACTCTTCTCCATTATAACTTCACAAGGGCACTCACTTGTGATAATGTATCTCAAGTTGCAATCAATGCCCAGTGCTAATACTGGATAAATGCAATTACCGTGGCCCTGTCAAGTCTATGCAGAACATCCTGTAAATGGAAGAAAAGAAAAACATTGCGTAACCCCATTTCTACTGCTTATAGTTCTCGGATGGCTTGAATTCAGGTCCTAGAATGCAGTGGTTTTTCTATATGGAGTCGTCATTTAGGTCGTCCTGCACAGCCAGATTTCACCAGCAGGGAAAAGTTAGAAAATTACAGCTCTGGGCTTCAGTTTAAAGATGGGATCTAAGCAAAGGAGGGTTGGCACCCTGTACTGTACTTTTGAGTGGGAAGCAAACTAGATTTTTCTTTTACTGAAGCCTCAATTAAAGGAAACCTGAGCTGGAAGAAATACTGACCTGCAATATCTTGTGAAAACGGACAGAAGGGGTGCACCAATCTGAGTGTAGAGGGTTATTAATTTATTATTAACATAGGGTATTAAAACTACTCACAAACATCATGAGTAAGAAAGCATGGTAAGGTAATCCTTTGGTAAGCCGTCAGTCGAAACCAGCATGGACCGCAAAGAAGACAGGGACTCAGGGCGGGCGACCAATGGCGGAACAGGAAAATGTCAGGTGACATGTTTCGAAGCAGTAGCTTCTTCTTCAGACCTGATTGGCTGTCAGGGGCTCTGGTGTTTTATAGGGAAAAGACCGGACAGGGCAGGCTGATTTAAACTTTGAAGAACAGCTCAGGAGACACTGTAAGCAAAATGGATCGGTGGATGGGATCGGAGCACCGCCAATAGGGCAACGGGGGAAAGTTGAACATTAACAGCATAGTAAAAGCAGTACTAACACAGTCTGATGTGTCTGATGTGAATAATTAACATGAGTGATGGCTAATAAAAATATATAAAAAAGATATGTATATTACGGTACATCTAGAAACCAGAGAGCAGTATGCAAATGAAGAAATGGAGAATATTGGGGTGGGGGTGATAGTATATGGGTGGTAAGAAAAAAAAATTGTGAAAATAAAAATTGAGAAGAAATGGTGTTTATAGAACAGTGTGGACCTTTATTTCTTCATTTTTTAACCCCAGGGACTAGTGTATTGAGTGTAGATCCAAAAGGTTTCTTGTTGGCATAGGCGTTGGAAGCGTTCAGCTGTGGTGGTGGTATTGGGTAGTTGGAGTCTATGAAACAAACTTAGAGATAGACGTGTGGTGAAATTTGGAGAAATGTTGTGGGACGCTGTGCTTGGGGTTACCGTCTTGTACTAAATGGCGATTTTCTGCTGAGTCTCTCCTGAGCTGTTCTTCAAAGTTCAAATCAGCCCACCCCATCTTGTCTTTTCCCTATAAAACACCAGAGCCCCTGACAGACAGTCAGGTCTGAAGTAGAAGCTACTACTTTGAAATGCATCACCTGACATTTTCCTGCTCTGCCATTGGTCGCCCACTGAGTCTCTGTCTTCCTTGCGGTCCATGCTGGTTTCAGCGCCATTTTTAAAACTCACTACACTGCTGACAGCTGACTGCTCCATCCCCGTTCATCTTGAACGACCCAGACCCACACCACTGGTGGACTGACGGCTTACCAAAGGATTACTTTACCATGCTTTCTTACTCATGATATTTGTGAGAGTTTTTAATACCCTATGCTAATAAATTACCGTAATAACCCTCTACACTCAGATTGGTGCCCCCTTCTGTCCGTTTTTACCTTCTGCAGAGTACTGCTTCGTTCTATGGGGAGCTGCCTTTACCTGCCATACACCAGTTAGGTTTCCTGGATTGTGGACTTTTATGCTTCATCTGTCATTTTTTATTGTATTATCTCTTTATTGTAACATTACTGATTTTTATTATCATTCTATACATATTCTGTTTATTGCCCCCATCCCTCTCTCCTTTATTTTATACTGACCATCTACTACATTTTATTTATTTCTTTTTTAAGTTTGGTCCCCTCCCAGCGCCAATTTTGTTCTTTTATTCTCTGTCTTGTGACTGTTCCTTTAGCCTAGAGTAATTACATCAATGTTATTTCTCGTGCTTCTGGCATATGGGCAACTATGCTTTTATTGTAAAAATTCCCCAAGAAACAAAGGGTCCAAGGCCAAAACATTTCATAGGCATTACTACATGTAACCTGTTCCCAATGCTGCATCCCGTATGGGCAAGCAGATGTACTGACAGGTCTGCAGGAGACTTTCATGGCACCAGCGATCTGCTGATCACTGGTGCAATGCTGTACAAGCTCCTGCAGCCAAAAATAAAGGCACATTTTTTTACCTGCAAAAAAAGTGCATTTATTTTTGGGTAAAAGGTGAATTTATCCTTTAAATTACATGTTGCTTCTATTTGGGATATCTCACCCTAGATAACCTAGATTTTAAGCTCCAAGGAACAGGGCCCTCAAATCCCTCTTGTATTGAACTGTAGTGTTACTGTATTGTCTCCCGTTTATATTGTAAAGCGCTGAGCAAACTGTTGGCGCTATATAAATCCTGTAGAACAATAATAATAACCTGAGAGAGATAAGAAACCTATATACCCCATAAATTCAAATATCTGTATTAGATGAGCTGCTCTTTTACCAATATGCCTGTTTTTGAAGTTTTTCTATTATACAATTTGGAACAAGGATTCTTTTTTTTTTTTGCTATGTGTGTATGTATTCTCCATACACATTGTACCATGTTTAAAAAAAAAAAAAAAAAAAAGTATTTTTATTAAGATAATACATATCAAAAAGAAAATCTAAAACAGGAAAAATATATGTGCTTGGTGCATTCAAAAGAGGTTCAATATTTTCACAATGCACCTTTTCACATATGTGGATAACATTATCTGCAATAATGCCCCGTACACACGAGAAGAAAAATTGTACGCAAAAGTTTGCGGAATCACTGATTGAACGATTTTTTTCTTCACTGATTAGCAGGATGTTTTAACCGATAATGAAATTGTTAACGAAAAAATCTGGTTGAACAACAGTGAAAAATGTTGTCGTTTCGCATACTAACTACCTATTTTCTATGCGGTGGTATGACTGTCCTACGAAAAAAATGTATCAAGCGCTATCACGCATTAAATAGAAGATGACTCGGATGTTTGTGTCCAAGGAATCTCTTTAAACACAAACGAAAACTCCAAATGTTAAAAGTAGATTGGCCCAATGAGATAATGAAACCAGAGTTCTGCATATTATATTTTATGTATCCCTATTTATGTATATAGGTAATGTAATAAACTATGTTATACTCATTGCTGGGAATTGTTGTGTATATCGCTCGTTCTAGCCGGAAGGGCGTGGCTACAAGGTCACACACACACTGCACCACTTGTACAGAAGACGTCAACACTACGTATTGCCAGACGAATTATTTTTTTAGATTGTTAATGTCGGCCACAATTTCAACAATGAACAAACGCCTCTCGGCCATCGGATGACCGATCAGTCAATTTTCTAATCGTGTATTCCCACCTTTAGGGATATATCTAATCTATTAGATCCACTGGATCTATTGATCCAGTGGGCCAGCTTTGGACTCCATGCACACTAGCATTTTTTATAAGCTCAAAAAAAGGCTAGTAAAAAGAGCTGGATAAAAAATGCTGATAATAGCAATTTTGTTCCTGCTTATAGTAGCATTTAATTTAGGAGTGTTTGCTTTTTTTTAGCGTTTTTTTTTTTTATAGTACATGCAGAAAAAAAAAAGCTTAGAATAATTTTATTCCTAGATTGTAAGCTCGAAAGAGCAGGGCCCTCAATCCCCTCATGTTTTGCATTGTATTGGTATTGTTCTGTCACATCTTCTGTCCCCTTTTGTAATGTACAGCGCTGAGTGAACTATTGGCGCTTTATAAATACTGTATAATAATTAGTGTTTAGGGGCATTCAGTGTTTTTTTTCTGCTGGAAAAACACTCCTGAAAACTACAAAAACTATTTTTTTTTTTTTTCTGCTCCTAAACCCTGAAGATGGAAAAACACTACTACCATAAATAGTGTGCATGGACACATAGGATAACACTATTTAGCTTTTAGGAGCAGAAACAAAATGACAGCTTCTAGGAGCTTAAAAAAATGCTAGTGTGCATGGAGCCTTAAAATTTTATATTTGTATAATTTGGGAAATGCAGAGTTCCAAATGAAAGTTGCAAATTGTTAGAGATTGAACGATTTTTCATACTTTATCCTAACAATTTACTCCCCCTACTTTTGTATAATGTCATTGTTTTAGCTACAAAAATGTTTCTTGCTTTACTGAATGTGATTCTGTATATTTCACAAAAATCTCAAAGAAACATCTAGCTTGTACTGAACTTTTTTGTAGTGTAAATGAAAAGGTCTCCCTGCTGCCATACTAACACTGTTGTTCCTTTCGCAGGTCAATGGAAGCATTGTTCTGAAGAATTTATGAAATTAGAGATTATATCACAGCGAAAACCACCATTGTTTTCAACAAGAGAGGCAACTTCTGTGTATCATGATATGAGTAAGTGGTGTTTGTTACATAAGTTCATGGTTAAAGGGAACAATAAACTATACTGGATGTTATGTATTTTCATGAACTGCATAATCAAAGCCTTTTTACTCTGAATCGAAGCCTCCTCCTGCTGTCTGACTGCAGTCTCCTGTTGGGTGTCTAAAAACCTGGACTCCCTGTGTTGTGCAGCTTCTGTTTCCCCTCTGGCTCTACCTTTGCTGGCACAATCTGGAGAATCTGCAAGACATTGTAGTCTGTTGACCAAAGTGAGCCACATAGCAGGTGTCGATAGGCTATGTAGATTTCTGCATGCAGCATGTTTATTCTTATGTGCTTTTTCCAGCCACTGACTTTCTGATTTGGCTTTCAAGAAAATGCTAATTCTTACGCACCCACAACAATCAATCTGAATTCATCCTATACTAATCTAATATGAAGAGTATTTCTATGGGTCTCTAGGGGCTACTACGATTAAGAATTAGCTTTTTTTTTTTTTTTTCTTCCTTTAATTTTTTTATAAGGCTAAAAATGTGGGTTAAAATTAAAATGGTAAATTCAGCCTGTCATGAGCCCTTTTGAAAGGTATTTTTGAGGTTGACTTTTAGGATAGCTGAAAAAAAGGCAACACTCTCATGTTGGAGCAGACAGCTTTCATGTCCTAACATCTGTTAAATGTGTTATCACTATACTTTTAGGCATCGGTTCACCTATGAAGTTTGAGAGCTTAACAGATATACTGCACAGGAAAATTGAAGAAACCAATGGGCAGTTCTTAATTGGACAGGAAGACTCTGCTTCTCTTCCTTGGACAGCATTATTTGATGGTAACCACCAACTACACGTTGAGAAGAACACACTTTCTCCACCTTTAAAAGGAGAAGTAGAAAATGTAATAGATGTCAAGGGAAAGAAGAGAAGGGCCCCACCACCACCACCAAATAAGACACCCTATACAGTTGGAGAACCAAAAATCCCAGACCCATCCGAAAAGGAAAACATTTGGCCAAGATCAAGTTTTTCTCGCAAGTCTCTTGATGCAAAATTGAATTCCATCATGCAACAGTTCCAAAGGCCAATGGCCGCCCCACGAAAACCAGTATCGTCTGCTGATACAAAAATCTCAAGTACTGACCAGCTTCAGACAAGTAATGAAGAGCTCTGTCCTTCCAGACCAGTACCAGCTCCAAGACAGAAGTCCATAAAACAACGGCTGGATCCTAGATCATGGCTTCAGATACAAGAGTGACTTCATCTTGTCCGTAATTCCACATGGTGCACGTGTGTGCATATAGTTTTTTAATTATATTTTTAATTTTATATTAGATGTTAAAACTGGAATAATCCACAGAAAATTGACTTTAATTTTCTACAAAGAACTCTGTGAAAATAGTTTTATTTTATTTTTTTCTATCCCTGGAGCAATTTGTTACATAGAATAATTGGCTTATTATTTTTAATCACAATCCTATCCTCGTGTTATTTGTAATGTTCTCAGCCTATGTATAAGAATTTTTCGAATACCCTGAAAGAAAACTGGGCTCTTAATCTTCAAAGAAAGTTTTCTTTTTTATCATTATCCGCTGGATTGCAGACGGTTCTGCCTCATAATTACGCACAGAACACAAAAGTAAAATGTCAGTTTAAGTTGACTCACAGACATAAATTCTTGTATGTGCCAGATGCCGTCCCGAGCTCAGGCTACACAATCATTAGCCTTAGTAATAGCGTCTATTACAGTTCATGATCTCTACTAATGAAATATAAGAAAACAGTATGCAAGCATGGAATGTAAAAAATTTATTGTGTTGGTAATAATAGTTGGTAATGAAAAGTTGGTTTATGAAAACTGGGATAATGCCTATAACAAGCAGTGAATTTTTATTTTGATTCTGTGATTCACTGGGAAAGCTGGTTGCTATGGACAGCAGTTTCACGCATCAGAAATCACACAGTGCAAGTATTTTCTGACTTTTTTCCTGTTTGTTTTTTAATACGTTGTGTGTACATCCTTAAACACATCCTTTTTTTTTTTTTTTTTTTTTTTTTTTTTTTTAAGGTAGATATGTCACGCATTACATTTGTGTTTGCTACTTTTTTTTTTTTTTTTTAATTGAGCAATTATTTTGCCTGACCATGCTAACATCCACTTCCTGTCCATAGGACATACCTGAATGTCCTTTAGATGGGAATGGTGATGTTTCTGCACTACTGTAGTGATAACGGAGAGATCATTCTTTTACAGCTGGCCATTCTGCATCTTATAAAAGTAATCTGAGCAGCTAAAAAACTGCTGGATTACTTTTATAGGTGCTGGAAGGGGGTTCTCCCCCAATGCTTCCTTTACTGGGCTCTCCCATGCGATTGGATGTGGTCAGCAGCATCCTGTTCCTGAGACACTGTAGGAGGAACAGATGTCATTCCTCCCACTGTGTAACATCAGAAACTCAAAGCATCAAGTATTTTGCCACTTCCGGTTTCCTTCTCACATAAGCCATTATCGTCTTGAACAAGCATCAGACCACACTGATCTTTGTGTGATCTGATGCATTGAAGGCCAGAGGAGACATCTGGGGGTCTAGTTAGATCCCAGATCTTTTGAATAAGAGGACCTGTCATGACCCATGTTATCATAAGGTATGTTGTTCATCCTTTGTGATGGCAAAAAAAGTGATCCAAAAAAAGAAATTAAAGGGTGAATGTAACAAAAGAAACTAAAAAAAATTGTTTAAAGTGCCCCCTTCCCACCATACATGCGCACAAAGGCAAACCCACATGTTGGTCTCACATATGTAAATGGTGATTGCACCACACGTGTGCGGAATCTCTGTGAACGTCGATGCGAAAACAATAATTCTAGCACCAGGCCTCTTGTATAACTCTGAACTGGTAACCTGTAAAGGGTTTTTAAGCATCGCCTATGGAGATTTTTAGGTACTGTAGTATGTTGCCGTTCCACGGGTGTCCGCAATTTTACAGTGTGACATTATTGGTATCCATTTACTCAACATAATAATATCTTTTTTTATATTTTACCAAAAAAGGGGGATATTGTGTTTTTGTGTACTTAAAATTTTTTCCAAAACATTTTGTTTTGAAAAACCGCTGAGCAAATACTGTGTGACATAAAAATATGCAACACCCATTATTTTATTTTCTAGGGCCTCCGCTTGTTTGGGGTTTTCTAGCAAAAACAGATTTTTTGTATGTTTGAGAGAAATGTCACAATTAGGCCAGACTAGAAGTAGTTATACTTATGTTTACTTTTGGTGATTATTCTATTTTAAAACTGTCCTTAAATGTACAGCACAAAATAGAAGATTAATTTTGGCTAGAATGAGGAAGAGTTGGAGCTTATGATAGGTTTTTGTCTGTGTTCCCGCATTGAGGAAATTCTACCTATTGGTTTCTGAAAACCGTTGTCTCCAGGACAGTGATGGTATGTCAAACATTTTTACCGTTGTCCATGGAACTGGATATAGGCCAAATCCAATGGGGAATCTGCCCCTTCCCACCACCATTATGGAGAGAGTTCTGCTCCCTTTGTTTTGTTTGGGATAAGCAAATGGCAAAAAAGACCTGATGGGCTCAAATCCCTTTTATAGTTTAGAAAGCTAGAAATGCTGGCTTTAGATATAAATTTAGGTCCCATTCACATTGTGGTGCTGTGCACATGTGCCAAGACACAGGTGTGGTAGTAGTGCCTAAGAAACCACATTTTGATGATTTCTTTTGATTTTTGACTCCGTCTAGTGGCCATAATGAATCAATTTCTGTAAATACTTCAATCAGGAAAATACTGTATTGTGGCCACTAAATAGAGTTGATCACTGTATTAAGCAAAATGTGGTGGGAATTCACATCTGGGAAAATGCTTGTTACATTTGTCCAACTTTTTTTTTTTTTTTTTTTTGTAATACAGAGCCTACAGTAAGGAGTCTATTTATTTTCTCACATGTGGAAGTTCTAGAACCGTCGAAGACTGTACTGCATGCAGGCAATGCATGACACAGTTAATTTAATAGGACTAAGTGCGGGAAGCCTTGACAACAAATAAGAATTTATTTTTTAGTAAACCCAAATCTGACATTTTTCAATGGACTTCCTCAATTTTCACCTCACAATTTGCTGTGTCCTAATGAGTAAACAGTGCTATGTGCCTATGTGCTCATTGATGCAATGTGTGTAGAGTACAATCATCCTCTGTGTGAAAGTGGTAAAATATAATCAAAGAAGCTGAGAGATGATTTGGCTCTCATTTCTGCAAGGGCAAAGGTATTGGAACAGTCTACGTAGACCAGTACTCATTAATCATCTGAGTTGACCCTATGCAGCAATATATTTCTTCACCCCCCCCCCCCCCCGTAGGGGACACATGTGAATGCTAGCCTTCAGCAACTGATGGAAGTAAGAGACATGGGTCCTTTGATGCAATCCGGGCTGAATGTAAAATTAAAACTGGTCACACTGGAGAATAACCCTATTGTAAAACAGCTGAAACCTGCTAGTTCAGTGAACCTGGATATTTAGCTGCTTGTAATATTTTATAATCCACTGGATCTGTTGATAGAATTTCTTCAAATTGATGTGCACTACATCTCATTCACTGAAGCAGCATTATTGTGTATTTAATGAACATTCAAGTGAACTCTGTGAATATTTAAAATGCAGGGGTTTGGATAGGTTGTAAGCATATTGCACAATTGTAATATGTTGTGCTGTTTTACTGCTTTTGTGATCTAACTTGATCCTAAAGCAACTTTATAGTTCAATACTAGATAACCATTTAAGTTGTGTTACAAGCGTTGAGTACACATATAATTATTTCATATTGATACAGTTTGTACGAAGTCATATGCAGTGTTCCATTTATATCGTGTGTAGTCTAACACAGGGGTCACCTACCTTTTTTAAATTGATTCTCTATAATGTAAAATAAATAATTAGGGAAGGCAGTTATGACAATGACATTGTGAAATGGGACAAAGACACCAAATTTCAGTACTATGATGTTTTGAGAAAAAAAAAAAAAAAAAAATATATATATATATATATATATATATATATATATATATATATATATATATATATATATATATATATATATATATATATATATATATATATATATATATATATATATAAATCATCTCAGTTCACCAGTGACTAGCCAAATCTCAAAAAATGGTGTGTGGTTAGTGACATTTCAGCTGTTAGACTGAACAGTTCTATAAATAATGTGGAATGCTGGCTTTTTTGTTGTGCTTCTATTTGGTTAATGGGTTTAATTTCTGCCTTTTAGAATGATTATGCAACTGTAGCACTACTCTAGAGATTTTGGTCCCCTATAGTCCTGCACAGCCAGGCAACATGCATTTTCTTTAGACCTTGCACACAGGAGACCATAAACAATCCTTGAGCTTTTTTTTTTTTTTTTTTTTTTTTTAATTTTATTAAGAGGTATTAAATTTGGATGGGGTTGAGGCGTGTGCTACACAACCCTAGAGTAAATGACTACTTCTACTCACTAACTGTACAGTTTTGCCAACATTACCTAACACTTAAAACTGTTCATGTTTGATGGAGTTATTTAAAAATCAGAAGAATATTCTTCACGAAAAAGCAAGCTCTACAATTGTACTGCCTTGTTTTTCTTTGGATTTTTAATTTTAAATAATTTGCAGCTTAAAATGTCTTTTCAGGATGTGCAAATTTTTTCACCAATGTTTTTTGAGGTTTTTTTTTTTTTTCCCCCCCCCCCACAGTGGTATAAGAAATTCTTTAAAACCATCCTATATAAGCTTTTATTTGACCCTTTTATGTTGTGGAATGATGGCCACTTTATATACCACTTTAGATTAAGCAATGGTAGCATTTTTATGTGCTTATACTTACTGTGAAACACAAAAATGACCATTAAACAGAAAGTGATAAACTAACCAGCATGGCCTTGGAACAGCTGTGTACAGTGGTTGTCTTTTGGTCCCAAAAGTGGCTCATTTGTTAGGCCTGTGGTCTTTAATATCTCCCCTGTTTATTCAAATGGCTCTTACAGAAGGTTTAATTGTTACTTGATGAAGAAAACTATTCAACAGGCCTTTTCAGACTGTTTTAGAAGGTATGTCATACAATCCTAAAATTGTAGTTACGCATGTGCGTGTTTCTGTATGGCTCCCGCTTCTGTCTTAGACAATGAGGAGAGCAAGTCTCGGGCTAGCCGAGAATCCATTGCACATCGCTGGATTGAAA